AGAGAGAGAGAGAGAGAGAGAGGGAAATTGAAAGTTTAATTACACGAATAAAGTAACAGACGATTCAACGTGTTTCGATATCAAGATCGATTGCTTTCATCGAATCTTGCTTTCTGCTAAATATGATTCTTACTCAAGTACGCCGTCTTTTCAAAGATTTCAGCTTCCTTCTAAAAGTACTCGAAATGGTAAAGCAACTTCTTTCTCGTCCGAGACAGACTGTGCGATACTTTCGGAAAAATCAATCGAGATCTTTGGATCGTTTAGATCGTGGCTGGTGTGTGCGTTAACGAGCTGTTGAACCGCAAGGAATTCACGGTGCCAAGATGGCTGTGGATCATTTATTCCATCGACGCGTCCACTTACTTTATCATCTATTTTTCCATCGCGATGACTCACGTATTTGAAAAAGCTCGCAGATTGCCAGTTAGTTTCTCGTAACTTTTCTCAACAAGATAAATCTTTCTTAATAAATCCTAATCGAATAACGTACGTTAATTTCTTTTCTTTTTTTTTTTTCGAAATTGTGAGTAATTTGATTTGAAGTAATTATACACGGAATTGAATATCGTACATGTATTTATTTTTCAACGAATGTGATTCAACTTTCCAAAGTTCCCAAGTTTTATCTTGCCCCGATTTTATTTGTAGGAATTCACCTTTTTCACGCTCGGAGTGATACTCCATTTGATAGGTGCCATTGCAGGCCTCACGAGATCACAGTACGACGATTCAGGGAACTACGAAGTACCGCGAAACGAGTTCAAAATTGGCCTGTTACTACTGGGTTGTTGCCATATCATTTTGCAATTTTAATAATCGGCAGAAGTATCTAAAGGTATCTATTCGTTCACTTTCAGCCAACTGCGTCATACTGTTCTGCGAGGCTGCTCACATCGCCTACACAGAATATCCCAAAATGGTAACGATCTAACGAACCACCTAGGAATATTTAATCAGCAACTGAACATTTACAAAGCGAAATAAATTTCAATTTGAAAAGATGTTTGTTCATTTCGATTTCAATCGACAAGGGGGAGATATCGATTCTCGGGGAACAAAGTGAACATCGTCGTGAATTCCATCGTCGGTCGGAAAGTTCTGCGAACATCGTGATACATTGCGATAAAACAATATTTCTCCAAAAAAAAAAAAAGATGGGCAACCTAGCAATTCAGATTAATCATTTCAGTTTAATAAACGCATGGACTCTCGAGAAAAAGTTACTAATATGGAGAACAGTAGGGCTGGTAAGACCTAAAGTACAAACGTCGCGAGATGTTTTGATAGAAATCAAATAGATGTTTGACAGAGATACGCAATGACTAAAGCTTTCTGTTTTCATAGTCTGCTTGCATAATAGGCACCGTGGTGTACATGCGGCCATTGGAGCCATACATAGAGGCTCCGATCTTCGGAATTTTGGTACCCACGTTCATAACAGGTTATATGCTGATACACTCGTCCGACATTTTGCTTCTAGCGATGAGGAAAGATTATATGTTCCTCGTGAGTAAGTGAAAAGCGAAGCATGATCGTTAATCGGCGGGATAGCGGAAGGCAGGATTTCCTAACGAAAATGAACAAACTGTTTAGGAAACATGGTTCGTCGTAATTGGGGCCGTTGGAAGTCTGACGTGCGGCATTTATCAATTCTACAAGTGGATCGAGTGGGTGGTTAATACGTCGCCCGAGCCTAACGGAGACAACAAGTACGTTCAGCTCCACTGAGAACACGAGTTTTGTCTAAAACTATTTGTTTCAACTGTGAAGAAACTGAGACTGGAGAAACTTTTTTTAAACAAACATTTTCACTCCAGTATCCCGGAATTAGTGCTAGCCCTAGCCTTCCTCCTCCATTTCGTCTGTCTGTGCGCCGTGATGACTCACCGTATTCTCGAACTGTACCGAACTCGGATCGATCGCGGACAATTATAATTCAAATGCATCCTGGCGTGGGCGAAATCATTCGATATCGAGTAAGTACAAAAGTTTCGCGAAATAGCGAGCGAAGATTTACAAAGAGAAACTTGGCTCATCAAATTCTCTACGCAGCTGAGGAAGAATTCGAAAGAATGGCGAACGGAATGAGTCAGGGACGAAGATCCATCGCTCACACCTATTTCGTCTAGTCTCGCATGAACAGAATACCGAGCGAAGTCGAAGAGGGTTACAACAGCGGCAACCATGATATGCATCAATTAGTCTACTTGACCTCGTGATCGTCGTGAATGACCGGCATAATCGGCACACCCACGATCCGGATACACAATCGCGTTAATTAGGGATGCTTCTGATGATTTAACTCCTCCAGGCAAGAGGGGAATGACGTATGAAATTGAAAGTGAAGTGGAACAACAGATAAATCTGACGAAATTAAAGTAGCTGCACAACGTATAGAAATAAAATTTTATGACGTGGCGATACATAATAATAAATAATGCGATCTGCCAAAGTGGAAATCACGGTGCGTAGTTCAAGATCGATACGAGGATCGCGTAATCGTTGATGAAGAGCTGTACCTACTGACCTAGTGAACACGTGATCTTACACACGTTCGTGCATTGTGCATCATCCACACAGTGGCATACTGATATTCACACCTGCATGAGTGATTGTGTTTAGACACGTTACGTATAATATATACGTACGTGCACGTAGTGTAGTTTTTCCGTAACAGGAGTAGCTACGTATTAAGACTATTACGCAATTAGAAAATAATCTGGTTGGTACAGAGTCGGGCTGGTCGGGTCACTCGCGATGCTTCAATTCGCCTTTTCTCTTAATCATTCCATTACGGCCAATTGAGATTGAATTTCCTTCTTTCCTTCTTTAACTATGCT